ATGCTGCACAGCCGCGTGCGCCTCATCCTCGAGTACGTGCGCGCCGCCGAGGCCGGTGAGAAACCCCGAAACAGCCCCAAAATGCCCCAAAATCCCGGAAATTCACCCAAATCCCAGCAAATTCACCCAAATTCCACCAAAATCCCCAAATCCTGGGGAGAAAACGGGGGGAAAAACGGAGTTTTTGGGGTTTTTTTAGGGGTTTTTTGGGGTTTAATTTGATTTTTTGGGGGGTTTAATTTGGATTTTTAGGGGTTTTTTAGGGATTTTTTTTGGGATTTAATTTGGATTTTTAGGGGTTTTAATTTGGGTTTTTAGGGGTTTTAATTTGGATTTTTTGGGGTTTAATTTGGATTTTTTGGGGGTTTAATTTGGATTTTTGGGGATTTTAATTTGGGTTTTTAGGGGTTTTAATTTGGGTTTTTGGGGGATTTAATTTGGGTTTTTTTGGGGTTTAATTTGGATTTTTGGGGGATTTTAATTTGGGTTTTTTGGGGATTTTTAGGGATTTTTTGGGGTTTAATTTGGGTTTTTTTTGGATTTTAATTTGGATTTTTTGGGGTTTTTTTAGGGATTTTTTGGGGATTTAATTTGGGTTTTTGGGGATTTAATTTAGATTTTGGGGGTTTTAATTTGGGTTTTTTTGGGGTTTAATTTGGATTTTTGGGGATTTTAATTTGGGTTTTTAGGGGTTTTAATTTGGATTTTTTGGGGTTTAATTTGATTTTTTGGGAATTTTAATTCGGATTTTTGGGGGATTTTAATTTGGGTTTTTTTGGGGTTTAATTTGATTTTTTGGGGATTTTAATTTGGGTTTTTGGGGATTTTAATTTGGATTTTTAGGGTTTTTTTTATTGATTTTTGGGGATTTTAATTTTGGTTTTGCGGTTGGTTTTGGGGTTTTTTGGGGCAGTTTTGGGTTTTTTGGGATTTTGGTGTTGGTTTTGGGTTTTTTGGGGTTTCTTGGGGATTTTGGGGTTGATTTTGGGTTTTTTTTGGGGTTTTTTGGGGATTTTGGGGTTGGTTTTGGGGTTTTTTGGGGTTGACTTTGGGTTTTTTTTGGGGTTTTTTGGGGTGTTTTTGGGGTTTTTTGGGGGTTTTCCTGGGGGGTTTTTGGGGTTTTTTTTGGGGCAGTTTTGGGTTTTTTGGGGGGGATTTTGGGGTTGGTTTTAGGGTTGATTTTGGGTTTTTTTGGGGTGTTTTTGGGGTGTTTTTGGGGTGTTTTTGGGTTTTCTGGGGGGGTTTTGGGGGTTTTTGGGGTCCCCGATCCTTCCCGCGGGGTCCCCGGATCCCAATTTTGGGTTTTTTTGCCCCAAATTTGCAGGGGAGGTTCCGTTCAACCACGAGATCCTGCGCGAGGCCTGCGCCCTCTGCCACTGCCTGCCCGTGCTCAGCACCGACAAGTTCAAAACCGACTTCTACGACGTGAGGGGCCCCCAAAACAGCCCAAATTCACCCCAAAAACACACCCCAAATACCCCAAAATATACCCTCAAATACCAGCCCAAAACACCCCAAATTCACCCCAAAAACACACCCCAAATACCCCAAAAATTCACCAAAAATACCCCAAAATTCACCCCAAATGCCCCAAAAATTCACCAAAAATTCACCAAAAATTCACCCAAAATACCCCAAAAATTCACCCAAAATACCCCAAAAATTCACCCAAAATACAGCCTGAATACAGCCCAAAACTCCCCAAATTCACCCCAAAAACACACCCCAAATACACCCTCAAATACCCCAAAAATACCCCAAAAATTCACCCAAAATACCCCAAAAATTCACCAAAAATACAGCCCAAAACACCCCAAATTCACCCCAAAAACACACCCAAAATACCCCAAAAATTCACCGAAAATACAGCCTGAATACAGCCCAAAACTCCCCAAATTCACCCCAAAAACACACCCCAAATGCCCCAAAAATTCACCAAAAATACCCCAAAAATTCACCCAAAATACCCCAAAAATTCACCAAAAATACAGCCCAAAACACCCCAAATTCACCCCAAAAACACACCTCAAATACCCCAAAATATACCCTCAAATACCAGCCCAAAACACCCCAAATTCACCCCAAAAACACACCCCAAATGCCCCAAAAATTCACCAAAAATACCCCAAAAATTCACCCAAAATACCCCAAAAATTCACCCAAAATACAGCCCAAAACACCCCAAATTCACCCCAAAAACACACCCCAAATACCCCAAAATACACCTAAAAATACAGCCAAATTGCCCCAAATCCACCCTAAAAATCCACCCAAAATCCTCCAAAAATTCCCAAATTTTTAGGAAAAACCCCCAAAAATTCCCAAATTTTTCAGGAACGCCCCCAAAATTCCCAAATTTTTAGGAAAAACCCCCAAAAATCCCAGATTTTTCCACAAAAAAACCCCAAATTTTTTAAGAAAAACCCCAAAAATTCCCGAATTTTTTAGGAAAACCCCCAAAAACTCCCAGATTTTTCGGGAACACCCCAAAATTTTTAAATTTTTAGTAAAAACCCCCAAAAATCCCAAATTTTTTAGGAAAACCCCCCAAAATTCCCAAATTTTTAGGAAAAACCCCCAAAAATTCCCAAATTTTTTCTCAAACACCCTTAAATTTTTAGGAAAAACCCAAAAAATTCCTCAATTTTTAGTAAAAAACCCCCCAAAAAATCCTGAATTTTTCCACAAAAAACCCCAAATTTTTTAGGAAAAACCCAAAAAATTCCCAAATTTTTAGTAAGAACCCCAAAAAACCCCAAATTTTTCCACAAAAACCCAAATTTTTTAGGAAAACCCACAAAAAATCCCAACTTTCTGGGGAAAAACCCCCAAAAATCCCAAATTTTTCCACAAAAAACCCCAAATTTTTTAGTAAAAACCCCAAAAAATCCCAAATTTTTAGTAAAAAACCCCAAAAATCCCAAATTTTGGGGGAAAAACCCCCAAAAATTCCCAAATTTTTTCTCAAACACCCTTAAATTTTTAGGAAAAACCCAAAAAATTCCCGAATTTTTAGTAAAAACCCCCCAAAAAATCCCAAGTTTTTCCAAAAAAAACCCCAAATTTTTTAGGAAAAACCCAAAAAATTCCCAAATTTTTAGTAAAAACCCCAAAAAACCCCAAATTTGTCCACAAAACCCCAAATTTTTTAGGAAAACCCCCAAAAAATCCCAACTTTCTGGGGAAAAACCCCCAAAAATCCCAAATTTTTCCACAAAAACCCCCAAATTTTTTAGTAAAAACCCCAAAAAATCCCAAATTTTTAGTAAAAAACCCCAAAAATCCCAAATTTTGGGGGAAAAACCCCCAAAAATTCCCAAATTTTTTCTCAAACACCCTTAAATTTTTAGGAAAAACCCAAAAAATTCCCGAATTTTTAGTAAAAACCCCCCAAAAATACCATGTTTTTCCACAAAAAACCCCAAATTTTTTAGGAAAAACCCAAAAAATTCCCAAATTTTTAGTAAGAACCCCAAAAAATCCCAAATATTTCCACAAAAAACCCCAAATTTTTTATGAAAAACCCCCAAAAACCCCAAATTTTTTAGGAAAAACCCCAAATTTTTCCACAAAAAATCCCAAATTTTTAGTAAAAACCCCAAAAACTCCCAAATTTTTCCGGGACCACCCCAAATTCGGGTGTTTTTTTTGGCAGCAATGCAACGACGTGGGGCTGATGGCGTACCTGGGCACCATCACCAAAACCTGCAACACCATGAACCAGTTCGTCAACAAATTCAACGTGCTCTACGACCGGCAGGGCATCGGGCGCCGCATGCGAGGGCTCTTCTTCTGAGACGAAAACGCACGGGAACGGGCAAAAACGGGAGAAAAACGGGAAAAAACACACAAAAACGCACAGGAACGGGCAAAAACGGGCAAAAACGGGCAAAAACGGGCAAAAACGACACCGAAACCCACGGGAACCGGCCGAAAACACACGGGAACGGGCAAAAACGGGCAAAAACGGGACAAAAACGGACAAAAACGCACGGGAACGGGCAAAAACGGGAGAAAACGGGCAAAAACGACACCGAAACCCACGGGAACCGGCCGAAAACGGGAGAAAAACGGGACAAAACGGGCAAAAATGGGACAGAAACGACACAAAAACACATGGAAACGGGCAAAAACGGACAAAAATGGACAGAAACGACACAAAAATGGACAGAAACGGACAAAAATGGGACAAAAATGGACAGAAATGGACGGAAACGGACAGAAATGGACTGAAGTGACACAAAAATGGACAGAAACGGACAGAAAAACGGACAGAAATGGACAGAAATGGACAAAAAATGGACAAAAACGGACAGAAATGGACAGAAATGGCCCAAAAATGGACAAAAATGACCCAAAAATGGACAAAGACAGAAATGGACAGAAAAATGGGACAAAAATGGGACAAAAATGGACAAAAATGGACAGAAATGACATAAAAATGTGACAAAAACGGACGGAAACGACACAAACGTGGACAAAAACGGACAGAAACAGACAGAAACAGCCCAAAAATGGACAGAAACGACGCAAAAATGGACAAAGAAGACACAAAAATGGACAGAAACGGACAAAAATGGACAAAAAAGACACAAAACCTGCCCAAAAACAGCCCAAAACAGCCCAAAAATGACCCAAGACCAGCCCAAAACAGCCCAAAAATGACCCAAGACCAGCCCAAAAATGGCCCAAAATGACCCAAAAATGGACAAAAACGACCCAAAAATGGCCCCAGACGGAAAAACGGCACCGGAATCCACAGAAATGAACCCAAAATGACAGAAATGGACCCAAAAGGCACAAAAACAGACCCAAAATCCAGAAAAATCGACCCAAAATCCAGAAAAATGGACCCAAAATGCACAAAAACGGCATCAGAACGGCCAGGAAAGAACCCAAAATTCATAAAAATGGCCCCAAAATTGACCCAGGGCCACAGAAAGACCCAAAATTCAGAGAAATTGACCCAAAATCCTCAGGAATGGCCCCAAAATTGATAAAAATGGCCCCAAAATTGATAAAAATGGTCCCAAAAATGATAAAAATGGCCCCAAAATTGATAAAAATGGCCCCAAAATTCCCAAAATCCCCCCCAGAATTCCCGAAATTCCCGGAATTCCCCGGGATCGGCGCCGGGTTTGGGTCAATAAAGTTGAGTTTCAAGAAAAAAAGGAATTTGGGAATTTTTTTCTGGGAAAAAATGGAATTTTGGGAATAAAAAGGGAATTTTTGGGATAAAAATGGAATTTTTTGGGATAAAAAGGGAATTTCTGGGATAAAAATGGAATTTTTGGGGATAAAAATGGGATTTTTGGGATAAAAAAGGGAATTTTTGGGGATAAAAAGGGAATTTTTGGGGATAAAAATGGGATTTTTGGGATAAAAAAAGAATTTTTGGGATAAAAAAGGGGATTTTTGGGGATAAAAAGGGAATTTTTGGGATAAAAAAGGGAATTTTTGGGATAAAAAGGGAATTTTTGGGATAAAAATGGAATTTTTGGGGATAAAAATGGAATTTTTGGGATCAAAGGGAATTCAAGGAAAAGACAAAACGACTCCAAATGGATAAAATTTGCATTTTTTTATTGATAAAAATCCTTTTATTGCTCAAAAAACACCGAAAAACAAAACCAGGGAGGAAATTTGGGAATTTCCAGTTGGAATTTTGGGAATTCCAGTGGGAATTTAATCCCATTTTCCTGCATTTTTACCCAAATCCAGCTGTTTTTATCCCAAATCCAGCTGTTTTTATCCAAATTCCATCATTTTCACCCCAATTTTGCCCATTTCCAGCTGAATTTCCCCCGTTTTTTCCCCTCCTGAGGTTTTTTTTCCCATTTTTCCCCAAATTTTTGGGTTTTTCCCCAATTTTTGAGGTTTTTTCCCAATTTTTTGGGGTATTTTTCCCATTTTTTTCAGTTTTTTCCCAAAATCCCCATTTTTCACCCCAAATTTTTGCTGTTTTTCCCCATTTTGGGGTTTTTTCCATGAAGTCTTTTCCCATTTTTCCCCAATTTTTGGGTTTTTCCCCAATTTTTGAGGTTTTTCCCCAATTTCTTGGGGTTTTTTTCCCATTTCTCTCAGTTTTTTCCCAAAATCCCCATTTTTCACCCCAAATTTTTGCTGTTTTTCCCCATTTTATCCATTTTGGCTTTTTTCATGCAGTTTTTTCCCATTTTCCCCCCAATTCTTGAGGTTTTTTCCCAACTTTTGCGGTTTTTTCCCATTTTTTCCCTTTTTTTTCCCATTTTTTTTCAGTTTTTTCCCAAAATCCCAGTTTTTCACCCCAAATTTTCACATGAAGGTGATGTGATTCTGCCTGGGGCTCACCTGCAGCACCTCCAGAGCCCCCAAATTCCCCAATTTTGGGGTTTTTTCCCCATTTTTTTCAGTTTTTTCCCATTTTTTTCAGTTTTTTCCCATTTTTTTTCAGTTTTTTCCCATTTTTTCCCAAAATCCCGGTTTTTCACCCCCAATTTTCACACGAAGGTGATGTGATTGTGGTTGACCTGCAGCACCTCCAGAGCCCCTGAATTCCCCAATTTTGGGGGTTTTTCCCATTTTTTTTCAGTTTTTCCCATTTTTTTTCAGTTTTTTCCCAAACTCCCGGTTTTTCACCCCAAATTTTCGCCTTTTTCACACAAAAGTGATGTGATTCTGCCCGGAGTTGACCTGCAGCACCTCCAGGATTCCAAACTCCCTAATTTTGGGGTTTTTTCCCCAATTTTTTGCTTTTTTTTCCCATTTTTTTCAGTTTTTTCCCAAACTCCCGGTTTTTCACCCCGAATTTTCGCCTTTTTCACACGAAGGTGATGTGATTGTGGTTGACCTGCAGCACGTCCAGGGCCTGGTACTCGGCCAGCGCCGCCCTCACCTGCCCGGGGGTGAAGCCGCGAGCCCCCAGCACCTGCAGGGCGTGGGGGAGGGGCAGCTGCCGGCCCCGCCCCCCCAGCTCCCGCAGGAGCCCGAAAATCGCCTCCGAGGGGCGGGGACACCTGGGGGGGAAATACACCCAAATTACACCCGAAAACAGCCAAAAACACCCCAAAATACACCCAAAAACACCCCAAAAACACCCAAAATCACCCAAAACCACCCCAAAA